TTTTTTTTTTTAGAATTTTTCAAATACTGAAAAATTAAAAAAGTTAAATTAACACATCAAACAAAAAAATTTTATTTATCTTTTTTTTCTTTCACGTAATATATTTATACAATAATTGTGAAAGATCTTCAACAAGATTCTTTTGTTCATTCGTTAATTGTGTTGATAATAATTTTTCTCTTATTTGATTGAATTGATTCAAATTATTTGTCATTTCATTTTTAAGCATATAATATTCAATAAGTTTAAGTTGTCCAGTATTTTTATCTGTTATTTCACATTTAGCTGCTAATTCATAATCTTTAACTGCATATTTAACATTACGAAAAAATTCATATCTCATATAATCTGATGCTAAAATTTGATCAACAAATTCAACAAGTTTTTGATAATATTCATTTTTAATTTCAGCTAATTGTTGAGCATATTCAGTTTTTTGTATCGAAGATAAATCTGACCAAGATTGTCGAGAACCTATTTCTTCTTTTTCATGATTAAAAAAAAGATAACTATTTATTGGTGGTCGTGGCGGTAAACCCATTGATTGAAAATATAAAATAATATCTTCATTTTTAGCTAATAATAAATGTAATGTTGGAATTAAATTTTCAATAACATTTGGATTGAAATGAAGAAATTCATTCCATTTTTTTATTGATTTTAATATATATGTTAATCGTTCTTCATCATTTAATTGATTAAATAATGTTCTCATATAAGCATTTTTTGTCATGGCTTTTGTAAATGCTGGTTTTTCATCATTTGATATAGCAGTTTCATAATAAAGTGCATTTGGCATACATTTATGTAATATAGTAAGTTGTTTTTTTGTTAATTTTGGATGATAATCATCACCTGTTGTTGTTTGTAAACTATCAGGTAATGCTGTTAATGATTTACGACGTTGACGAATTAAATTTTCAACATTCGTATTATCATAACCAGTGGACAATGGTGTATTATTTACTTGAGCTTTATATGGTAATTGTTCAGCATAAAGTAAATAGTCTGTGCGGAGACGTTCGGGTAAATCATTAGCAAAATTTCTTACTTGTGCTGAATATTCATATTTAGCCTATTAGAAAATAAAAATATTAATATTATATGAGGGTTGGTCAAAACTACGATCGGTGAGACAAATGCTGCTTTTACACACAGAATAGAATCAAGAACCAGTATCATTAATTTCGAATTCTATACTAGTCCAATGAAAATCTATAGGAATAATACTTTTTTCTTCAGGAAAAGTCATTTATAGAAATGAAGCTGACTCTGAGAAAGACATTTTTATTGATCGCGTATTGGCATATTTCGTTAGTGAAAAGACAATATATTGGTTGCTCTAATTTCAAATATTAGTAAAATATACGATTCTAATAGAAGGATTATCAGAGTGAGGTGAAAATTTGTCATTATATAATTCGTATTGCTGGGACTCTATTCTTTGTATTTGATTTAATTCAACTGGTGCATCACCGTCGTTTTCTTAACTACTGCTTCTTATAATGTGATCGTGTAATGTATGCCTTCGTTTTCTTACTTTTTTCCTAAGTCCAGTCATTTATATCGTAGGGTTATATCACTGTCGTATAATAATGTTGAATGCACGTAGTTGATCTCGATTAATTCTTGTTTTAGTCTTTCTATCATTTTTGTTGTTCTTATAGGGATGCACGATTTTTCTTAAGTAAATTATGAAGAAGATACACATGTTTCAATTACACACAAACACAATTTGTTTGTCTCCTTTAAAAGAGCCAACGTCTACGTCTCTATTATTAACGATTTATTTTTCTTTATTTCTACCATGTTACGCTTTGTTCGACGTTTTCCAGTCATATATAAACAAAAGACCTCGACATATAATATGTATCGTAACAATGTGCGAATAAAAAGAAAGGATAAATTTTCGTCTGGTAATACTGTTCGCTTTTGTAAAATGTTTTTCTATGCTGATCGAAAAGTTGGTTACTATTAAAATTCATCAGTATTATCTTAGAAAACTGATATCGATTAAAATGTTTCAAAAAGAACCCACTAAAGGGCGAATCGAACAAACAAAATAATGACTGCCTCTCAGAATTCTTCAGATGAACGTCATGATTGTTTGTAATTAACAAGATTTTTGCAGTAGTTTCGAGATTCTCGTTAATAATACTGTCGTTCTACTGAGCACCATTTTTCCTTCTAATATATGATTTTTTCTTATTACTGTATATATACAGTCGTATCTAGAAGCATTTTTCTACGTATTATTTTGATCACTGAGTTTTGTCCACTGCTATATCATATTTGTTGTTAAACTATCTATTCAACATGTCATCGTAATATAAGACTACTTACTTCTTTTCTTCTCTTTTTATAACTTTGTTGTTCAGCTGTACTCAATGAACTCCAAGATGTTTCATCATCATGTTCGTCTTTAACAGCTTGAGTATAAAAAGGTACAGTTGTTCTAAAAATAAGCAAATATTTCAATTGCAAAAACTTTCATATATATATATATATACCCGGGTGGTTTTGCTGGTGCATTAATCGATTGAAAATATTTCTTCTGTTCGCCTTTCATTAATAAATAATCGAATAATTTACATTCGATTTGTACACGTTCATCTACATCTTTTTCATCCTATATAGATTAAAATTCATAATTATCTATTGACTTCAATTATATTTACAAGTAATTCAATATATTTATCGACGGATTTTTGTAAAAATCTCGCTTGTTTATCGCTTGATAATTTACAAAACTTTACTCGTAAAGTAAACGGATTATCCTATAAATAAATTATTTCTCTTTTTGTTTATTACAATATTTATACTTACTGTACTTCCTTTTTTCTTTTGTTTATTAATAAATAAACATAATGGACGATATGATTTAATTCTAATACGTACAAAAATAATTTTTAGATAAAAATTATTATCTAACTTACTCTTTTAAAATTTCATCAGAAATGAATTTATTCGATGGTTTTGGTCGACTTCCTCTCGGCATTTATTTCTAAAAATTAAATTATTAGTTATTTCCGTTTAGACTTAGCTATTTAAACATAGTTTTATTTAATAACTGACGTTTTACAAAACAAAAAATTATCAAAAAAATAATACCAAAGATCGAGGTTTATCTTGAATTGGTATGATAATAAATCTAAAACAAGCAAAAGTTAGCAAATGCAAGCATATGATTGAAATCAAATTATTTCTTTGTGATTTAAGATGCAAAAAAAAATGTTAATAAAATCATATTCAATTATATTTCAATGTTATTTATATTTTCCATATCGTTTTTTTTTCTTTCTTTTAATTGAGCATATAACAATAATAGAAACAAATCAAACTAATACAACACAACACACCGGCGAGAATAGAATAAGAATAAAGAATATGAGCTAGTTTAGCAAAATTGTAAAAAAAAAGATATGACTCAGATATGTATATTGAAATATGTACATTTCCATTTCCTAATCTAATAAATGTTTAGAAATGAGCATTAATTGAATAGAGAATGATTTTATATATATATATAAATTTAAATGTTATTGCTCGGCTTTACTAGATAATAATAATGGATCAGTTTCTTTCGATGCACTCGTTGATGCTGTTGGTGGTTCAGTAATTGTGACAGTTTTTTTTGCAGTTGATGGATCAAGGACTTCTTTTTCGTTCTTAGATGAATTATCATCAATTGGATCGAGTACATTTGTTTTTTGAGATGAACCATAATCATTTGTTGAGGGTGTATTCGCCTAAAATAGCTCATACATTTTATTAATGTTATAAAAATAACAAAAATAAAAGAAGAAGAAAAAACTAATATATATGGTCTTTCTCGTAGATTATATAGATCAAATTAGTGAACATATAGGTTTTCTACGGTTAATCATGTCTACAAATTTAAAAATAAACGCATTTTGGAGTCTTGATTTCAATCTTAAAATCCAGAATTGTTCTAAATAACATAATGAATTCTATGTAATAGATTCTCGTTAAAATTCATTATGCGACCATTTAATCTGGAGTTATTTAAATGATCATGATTTTTTGTTTGTCACAAGTAAAGAATATTGACTGATATCAATCCTGTTTTATAGGAATAATTTCCTTCCAATGGATAGTCTTTCTCACTATTGTATCTTTATTTCCATTATAATCTAAAGTTTCATATAAATGACAAGAAGAAGAAGCATGCAATATTAAGTATTAGTTACGGGTAAAATAAAATAAGTGAAGTTTGATTATATATATATGTTGTTTTCCCCTATCAGATTTTCTCTACTTGATATAGATATAGTTATTCATTAATTCTATATTACTTACTGTTTAAAATATATACATTTATTGTAAGAATTCTATAGCTTGAAGCCATAGAAAATAGGTATTACTAGAGAGAAAAATTTATCTGTGCTATCGTCCATGTTTACATATTCTTTTCTGTATTCATTAAAATAAATTTAAGTCATCTATGTGATATTGTGAATAAACTATAACAGACAGCAAAAGAACAGTCTCAGTTAACTGACAATACATGCACAGCATTTTGTGATATTCTATTCAAAAATAGATTGAATCGAACAAATAGTAGTGAAATAATAACGTCCTAATGTTTGTTCTATTATTTTAGAGCATATAAATAGAAGCAAAATTAACTTAAATAATAATGTGCTTTCACTCACTATTATCTTTATATTACTATTCTTATTCTCGATGATTTCTCATCATTCACAATCATTGAATGTACTCTCGTTTTAAACTAGATAAGATAGATATTAAAAATTAATAAAAAAAGTTTTTTTGAAGCAAGAAGAAAAAAACATCTGATAGATTTTATTGAACTTACATTAATAATATTTGATGGTCTTGCACGTGAAGGAGCTTTTGATATCATTCGTCCAGATGTAATCAATGGTCCCCAACCTTCTTGTTGAGAAAATGCATAACCTGATCGTGCAACTTTTCTAGGTTGATGTATTTTTTGTTTAATATGTGCAACAAATGCTGCTTTTTCTTCCATACGATATTTTTGATTTAATCTTGCACGATCAGTTTTATTTGGCATAAATCGCATACGAAAAAATCTAGAAAAATCAAAATCAATTAAAAATAGAATATTAAATATCAATGAAATAATTTACTCTCGACAAAATACAGGTAAAAGTAATATTGCACATGTTATTACTAATGTAAACCAAAAATTTCCAGTTGTTAAAACAGCTTGTGCCACCCCAACATACTCATAATTTGTTTTAAAAATTTTGAAGATAAATGTTGAATATAATGCAAAATGGAATAGGAAATGTACGGCTATTGTTCCCCATAAAACAAAATGATATAAACCAGTCCAATACCACATTTCAAGTGCATTTTCTAAATTGACAACAACAACCATTATTGTTGCAACAATAAAACCAAATGATTGTAAATCAGCTTGCGTCATTCCACCAGGACGTGTACTATTTGATATAGACAAATATGGAATAAAAAAGATTATACATGACGTTAAAACTCCATGAATAACACTTTCAGCAAAGATTTTTTTATTGAAAAATTCATGATTTTGACCTGGAGTATATCTAAACATTAAGAAAAAGATTCGTATGAAATAAAATTAAATAGATTACTTACAAATGTGGTTTTTTGATTGATTGAGCAGCAGTGACATCCTAAAAAACGACAAAAGGTTTATTATGTATTTTCTATAAGGTACTACTAAAAGCGGAATATATTTATATGCAGGGTTCTGCCTAGCGGGTGGGCGGCGCCCACTCGAAATACGAGACTTAGCAAAAAACAGTTTATATGAACGTACTTGATCAAAAACACCCAATGCAAGAACAGGTAATGCTGAGAAGAAAACATTATATGTTGCTACGAAGAATGGATCATATAAAGTCTATAAACAATAGAAAAGAAGAAATATTTTATTTATAGGATAATAAATTACCTGAGCTGAGAATCCCGAAAAAAATCCAAACCAAAAATGGCAGAGAGTAAATGCAAAATTTTTATAAAAAAAGTAACGTAAAAATTTTGATATTCGCAAGTATGACCAACGTCCATGAACAAGTAAAAGTCTTTCAAGATAACAAAATTGTCCGAAACTAAAATCACTTGCTAAAACAGCTTGTCGACCTTCTTGTCCACTAATTCCCACACCAATATGTGCTTCTATAAAATTTTATCAAATATTCAATAAAAATAAACACAATAAAAAAAGTTTTTTTCTTTTACTTTGTATCATTGATACATCATTAGCACCATCACCGATAGCTAATGTAATTTTCTTTTCATTATCCATAACTAATGCAACAACTTCAGCTTTTTGTAATGGTGTTACACGACAACAAACAACAGCTTTACACATTGTACCAAGTTCAAGAAATTTCATTTTTAATTTATCTGTTAATACATGTACTAATGCTGCTCCTGTTATTAACAAACCAAAACCATCAAAACCTTCACTATTTTGTGAACCCATTTCAGTAGTTGTTGCTGTTGCTGTTGATCCATTACCATTTAGAACAGTTGGTTGATCTTTATTACCATTCGTATTATTCGTAGAATTTTTTCTATGTTGATCAAATTTCATTACATCAATTCCCCAATCTTTCCAATCAAGTCGTTTCTTTCTATCTTCAATTTTAACACCGAATAATTGTTCAATTTTATTAATCATTTCATTTCGAATTTCATCTAATTTTGCTGCAACACCTTTTTCATCTTCAGCATCAATTATATTAATATCCATATCATTAGTTAATAACCGACATGATAAACCAATATTATAAGCCGTTTCTTAAAAAACAATACAAAAAATGAAAGTTTTTCTTATAAGGAGTTTTTACTTACCAACTTTATCGCCAGTTAATACCCAGATTTTAATACCAGCACGTGCTAGATTTTCAATACATTGTGGTACACCTTCTTGAAGTTTATCTTCAATAGCTGTAGCACCAAGTAATTTAAGATTTTTTTCAATTTCTTCATATACTTCACTAACTTTTTCATCTCGATTTTCCATACTTGTACTAAAATTGGATTCATTAAGAGTTATACATCTTATTACGATAACAACTTACTTTGCTTTATCTAATGACTCAGCCCATTTATTATATTCTCCTTCATCTAAATCTTTCCATGCTAAAAGAAGTGTACGTAAACCATCCGATGCAAATTTCTATAAAAATATATTATTAATATAAATAAAATTAGAAAATCAATATTTTCTTACATTTAAATGTTCATCTGTTTCTGCCATTATCTCTTTTTCTGATGCATCCAAACGTTCCTTAATTTTTGAATCAGCACCTTTACAATACAAAACAATTTTTCCTTCTTTTTTAATGATAATCGACATTCGTTTTCGATCATTATTAAAATCAAGTATATTAAGTAAATCATAAGTTTCTTCTTTATCTTGTAAACGAACTGTAATACTACTTTGATTACGATTCTATAAAACGAAAAAATATGATTTTGAACAAAAAAACACAAATTAATCTTTACATCAAATACAAAACCAAATGTTCGTGCAGCTGTAACAAGCGCATTTTCATCAGGTGATTGAGCTTGATAAATTATTTTTCCATCTTTTTCTTCGGGCATAACCGTATGACAAAGAGCCAAAAGTGTAAAAAAATTATTTACATCTTCATCACCATTTTTAATCGCATCAATTAATTTTTGATCATACCATTCGAAATCTTCCTCTTTTTCTTCAAATTCTAATTGTTTTGATTTCTGAAAAAAACAAATTTTATTTATTTAGAAATAATAATAAAAGAATTATTCTTACATCAGCTTCTTGTGATTCATTTCCAGCTTCATCAGTTACATATCCATATAATTTTCCGCGTACTGAACATTTATTAAACGTCATTATATTCTAGATTAATAGGAAAAAATTTATATGAAATATCAATCAGAGTATTTTCTAGTGGCGAATGTCTAATGTTAGATAGACTAAGTAGTTTTTGTTATCTAATGTTTTAATCTTTT